AAGACAATGTTCTGTTTGGATATCTTCTGCAAAGGCTCTAAGCCCAAGCCTGCTTCTGCTCTGCTCTTTTTAAATTTTCACTTATTTATCTGTTTATTTATCTTGAGAGAGAGAGGGAGAGAATCCCAAGCAGGCTCTGTGCTGTCAGCACAGAGGCCCAATGCAGTCTTTGAGCTCACAAACCATGAGATCATGACCTGAGCCAAACTCAAGAGTCAGATGCTCAGCCGACTGAGCTTCCCCCAGGTACCTCTCTGCTCTTTCTATTAAAGAGGAACATCAGCATTTGCAGTGAAGACTTCACAGCACCAAATACAGTCTTTGTGCTCGTAGGATCTGAAAGGGGAAGGGGATTGTCTTCACTAAGAGGCAAGTATTGTAGACAAATGCAAACACCTCGCCCACCACACTGGTGACCGCGGGTTCCGTGATCAGCGGGTCCTGGTTTCTGTCGTCTGCCTGGTGGACTCCTTAGCTGCTCCCTTGTGTCGTTGATGTCCCCACTCTAAGGTTCATTTTCTTCCTGTGTGAGGGGAGAATTCCTTGTAGGTTAATACTGTGGTATTGTCGGTACTCGCCACCGCCCCCAACACGCACACCCACTGCCAGGCACTTAGTAAACACCATAAATTCAGCACATGCTTGCCGAGTACCTGGCATGTGCTAGATACTGTTCTTGGGACAGGACATGCAGTGGTGAGTGAAACAGATGAGCTAACTGCAAACACTTCTGGTACAAACGACGGGGGTGGTGGGGCAGAAGGGCTGGGGAACGGTCCTGGGTGATCAAGGAAAGCCAGTCATTTGAGGGGACATTTGAGCACAGTGGTTTCTCCCATGGTTATGGTGATGGGTGTTGGGTGCATAGAGATGGTTTCAGTCCAGGCTTTGCGCCACGTGGATTCTTCCCCATCCCCATGCCCATATGCGCCCAATCTACTTCCCCCTCATGGAAGTTTGGACTTGAGGCCAAAGGTGAGAATGCCTGAGGACAGAGATGGCCACTCAGGAGAATGATCTTGGTCCGTGGATCTATTTGAAGGGCAGTTTTAGAGGTTGAGACCTGAGATCAAATCTCCCACCGCTTTCTCTTGACAACTGACAACTCCACGCTGAGTAAGTGACGGGTATGGGCCTGGACCCCAATCTGGCCCCTCTGCTTGCTGGCCAGTTTCTTAAGGCTCCTCACTACCATTTCCATGTTGAGTGGGGTTATAACAGCCCTCTTGAGGTGACGGAGAGTGTCCATTTGAGTTAATAAAAATGTATGTGGTGAGTGCTCTTTAAAGGACTGCTAGCTTTCATTGTCCCTATTTTACAGAGGAGAAACGCGAGGAGAAATAGCTGAGCCCAGGTCACCCATTCGGGAAGTGGCTTGTGAGGATAAATAGTGGTTATGGTAGAGCGTTGCCTAGCCTAAGTAAGGCCTGGCATGTAATACTTGGTCCTTCGGAGTGGGGGCTGTTCCTGGGAATCAAAGGGCTGCCTTGTTCTGTCCTTTACAGGAAATTCCAAGGTAGTTTTCCGTACCGGCTCCCTGTTTCTGTTCTCGGAGGGGCCCAGGTACCCAAGTGGACTCAAGATGGAATCGAATATCTCAACCTGCCTGTCCGGGCCTCTGGTTGTCGGGTGGGTGGGGGGGG